ATTACAATTTAAATAAATGTTACGTTCTTGCTTCTACAACTGAAGAAGGAATTTAAATAAGAGGAAGCTAATTTTAAAAAGTGGAACTGTCCATTCACCTAACACATCGAGTGCATGATGCCATGTCTGAAGGCTTACCGAGAGAGAGAAAAGAGTGAGGCTGAGGGAGTGATATTAAAGCAGCACAACAAACTGAAATAGCTTAAAAACAACAAAAATAAATGAGGGTTTATAAAAGTAATGACACTGAAAGACAAAAGTGGGATAAAGGCTTTAAAAACTGAAGAGGCAGAAACATAGAAAGGACTAAAAAGACGGTCAAGGACTTTAACAACTATGACAGAATTTTCAACGACGTAAAACTGAGATAAATGAGGAAACCTAATCATAAAATAAAGCTGAGGTCAAACATGTTGATGGTGATGATGAGAAAAAGCTCATTTCTTCCCCAGTGGTCCTAGGTCAGGGATTATCACCTTGTATTAAGTTAAACAACAGAACCTGGGGTTGTGGTTTGGTGTGGCTTTGCTATTTTGTCAGTTCATTTTGAATTGTTCTCCTTGGTTTGCTCTGTTCTTACGTCCCTTCATGCTTTCCATAGTGTCAAAAATGGTGAATGTGTTTAGTTTTATGAGCATCACATTAGACCAAACAGATCCAAAAAAGAACATTTGCTACATTGTTTGCAACTTGCATGTCTGGTGGCAACACCCCTGAGAAGGAGGTGCATCGCCAGGTGACACATAGATGCCATTTGTCATGCTAGGCTCAAGGTTTTCCATGAAGTGGTGGAAAAGGAAACAGGATGGAAACACCTTTATTATGGGTGACAAATGTTCACCTATTAATCTCTAAACTACTGTTTCTGGCTCTGCAGTGAGTGTGGCGAGCCGACCGTGGGGTAGTCGTCCGTTTGTGCTTGCTGTTCGCTCAGCTGAAGAACTGCTCCAGCTCCTCTTCCATGTTCACCTCAGGCACCATCTGCTCCTGTTCTCTTTCTCCTCTGCCGTGCATCGCAGGGCCCCCAACCACCCCAGAAGAGGCGAACCAGGGGTGCTCCAGTATCTCCCTAGAGGTGAGGCGCTCTGCTGGTTCCCGCCTGAGGATGGAGCGGATCAGGCACTTGGCCTTGGGCGTGAGCGTCTCAGGGATGTTGAAGTGACCCCTGCGGATTTTGCTGAACAGAGAGCCGGGCTCAATGTCATGGAAAGGGTAGCGCCCCACGAGGATGGTATACAGCATGACGCCCAGACTCCAGACATCAGCTGCCTTTCCTGAATAACTGCCACTGGCATTGAGGATCTCAGGACTTACATAGGCCGGGCAGCCATGTTTGTCTGACAGGGAGTCATCGTGACCGTCCAGGATGTAAGTGTCCTCGAGGCTCTCCAGCTTCACCAAATTTCTGGAGATACACAGGGAACAGAAAACACATTGAACAAAACAACAGACACATAAAATCATCTGATAACATGAACATTATTAAGTGATAATCACAATCATAGCTACATTCTTTGAATGCCAACTAACAAAAAACCCCACAAAAGACAGTCAGGTGCAGTAACGTGCTCTGATGGACATCTTAAGTGTTTTGGATCCATTGGTGTTGGATATCAAGAGGAAGTAGAGCATATAATGCTCTGGGATTAAGTTTGACATTTCCTTTCACTCAGATAAAAACCCAGCCAAAAAGCACTGATGTACAAATAGGCATTCCAAAAGACCACGACAATTCAAAAGAAACAAAATTGCAGGTGACTGATCGGCTTAAGCTTCATGCATTGAACTGTTTCACTCAAAGAACAAAGGAGCGACTGTGGATTGTATCCCCTCCTGTCCTAACCCTTAAAAAACATCTATTATCACTGTTCTCTAAACCCTACAACAGCAGCTATGATATCATTGATGCTGATAATAATGGCTGCTCATTAGGATTATCACTAAAGAATCCTGAGAGGCTCCCTGCCTAATCTCACCTGCAAGAGACAAACCCTATTATACTGTTTAATTTTCTCTTTCTCATTTTTTCCCCTCTTGGCAAAAAAAAAAAAAAAAAAAGATTTTTCAAAATGGAGAGTAAGAGACATTTGTGGGGATGTGCAAATGCTACCACCTGTGTGCGAGGTCCATGGCACATGATGCAGCAGACAAAGAACCAGTGTCTGTGATATTATCTACTGAGAGCCACTACAAAAAAGGGAACCGAGACAAAGTATTTTTGCCATGCACTTTCCTACAACCCCCTTCACCGATTCACTGGGAGAATAGCAATTTCTCTTTATTATTATGCTGTAGAGCGATTGCACATTTTCATATCAGGAAAATCCTATTGTTTCCTTGAGCCACATGCCCATTGTTCCTCTGTGAGATAAAGAGCCATGTGCTCATTTCAATACAGCATATTACTGCCTGCATAATAGCTCATTTGGAGAACATATGCGAACCTGCAATTAGTTCAGACAGCTTAGAAATACAAAAAAAGGATTTAACCTATTTTTAATAATAGCACACTGTCTTTATTTAAGCTACACAGGATGCAATGTTTGCTGATGCAATGTGCACCAAAACGTCTCATGAGCTTGCTGCAGAAGGAAGAGGTCAATAGGCCCAATTTAGGTACCTCTGCTGTGCTGTGTTGGATTCTGCTTGAAGCAACCTTTGGCCAATGCTCTTTAAAACAGGCTGCTCTCTGGTCAAGGCTAACTAGCAGCATGGCAAAAATCAGGTCATGCTGTGGAAGCCTGCTAAGATACCAGTTGTTCCTTTCTTCTTCTATGCATTCGCCATAATCTTGAGCCAGAACAGTGTCTCTGCCTCTAAAGCAGGTTCAGGACTAAAAAGGTTTAGGATTCTTGACAAGCCATATAGTAAATGTGACCCAATCCTGTCCAAGCACCATCAGTTTTAAAATTCACCCGACATCAACCCTTTAATGGGAAGAGGACTCGGTATCCCATCACATGAGCAGTCTGGTGAGACATTCAAGGTCACTGGATCCGTACTGAATATGTGAGACAGCTCAACTTCCCTTTTCCACAGTTAGTGCCAAAGAATGATGTCACACATTCAGACACAGGGCATGAGCTGCAGCCCGTGCCTCTGCCACAGGGTGTTAGATAAGAACTGGCTGGAATAAAGTTTCCCTCTGGGCCTTTAGTGTCAGGTCATTGCTGGCTTTGAAACAATGCTAACAAAAAAGGCAATACATTTTTTAGCATCTACCAAATTTTTAAAAAATATATTAAATCCTCATCAGTTAAAAAAAGCACTCTACACTCAGGTTGCTATGGCAACAGACGCCTGGATTTCACGGGTGCAGTTTTCAAATGCTGCCACCAGAGGTCAGTAAACCCATGTTGTGTAAGTGATTTATTAGTTTACTAAGGCTGATCACTACACAAGTGCAGAAGTGACCAATATTCAGCTTAATTAATCATATAACATGCAAAACCTAGTCAGGGTAACTTCTCTGTTCATGCTTGTTGGTGCCAGGAGCCAGATGACTTATCTACAGCTATACATGTCACGTACCTACTCCTAAACCATGTGGACAAAAATAGCTCAAGGGAGACACAAAGGGCTTATGTTTCCTGCACTCTGCATAACATCTGGGAGAGCATATCAGTCTTGTATGGTCTCAGTTCACACTATCCATCCTGAAAGCCGAGATGGGATAATATTGACACGCTTTCATAACTTATACAACATTTACAGATGAAGCACAGGGAAAGAAAAGCCAGAACGCTACAGTCGACGCTCAGTGAAGCCTATGGCTTCTGTAGAACTTACCTGTCCTCATTCTTGAAGACAAACTTCCTCAGTTTGAGGTCACGGAGGACCAGTCCGCTGTCGTGGCAATGTGCCACAGCCGAGGCTATCTGATAGAAGAGTCTGGCAGCTTCGTCCTCCCGCAGCTTCTTGCAGGTGCGGACAAAAGAGTGCATGTCGCCATAGCTTCTCTCAAAGAAGACATAGGCACGCGTCTCTCCGAGCAAGATCTCCAAGATTTGGTTAATATGCTGGTGTTGCCCCAGGGCGAAGTAGGCCGCCAGTGACTCCTGGTATCGGCCAATGTCAAAAACCTGCAATCATAAGAAAAGGCAACATTTTATACTTAACACTCCGCATTCTAGCCAAGTAGCTATGTTTCTTGTCTAGATTGACTCATGCGTGCAACTATCTAATTAGGCTGTTTTGGTGTCGAGGGTGAGAACATCTGCCAAACTGTTTTTTCTCCACTATGGAGAGACACTATTAAATCCAAGTTAAAGAGCTTCAAATTGCCCTTTAATTAAGCAAAATGTAACCTAAATGGGAGCAATTCCACCACACTCAGGACACCAGATTATTCTTTTGGCAGAGGGGGATGAGGTTACATGCAGGCAAAGTAAAAGCATCATTTTAGTGCATGGCATTGTACTGCAGCCCAGGGTTGCAGTGTCTTTTGTTTCCATAGTAACCCCCTAACTGACTTTCAGTACAACCAGTTCAGATGAGAGGGGGCTCCTCTGCTCGCAGTCAGTACAAATACACCCTATAGCTCTCGAGAACTTAAGATGTGACCCAGACTTCCTGCCTGGTGGGAATAACCAGCCCTGGGAGCGATGGGTGCTGTACTGAAGCCAGCACAAAGCAGGTGAGGTCAAACAACAGTTGGCTCACAGGCTGTGCCAAAGGCCATTCATTTGTTACCGCCATACAAAACATCATCAAGTCAAAAGGTAAAGGCTACTGAAAAATGTCATGGCTCATGAGTCCAGGTGTATGCAACTATCGTCTCAACTCATCAAACTACTTAAGCTAGCTGCAGTCTACCTCTGGGTCAACAACCCCACTGCCCTTTTAATCACTAATATCCAAAAGTCAATAAATGGTGTGGACAGGACAGGGTTGTCCTCAACCTTAAGGGAACAGGGGTTTATTCCTTATGGTTAGAGAGGTCAAAGCTGGAGCCAATGTGAGCTGTTCCCTAGCATGTCTCTCTCTCTCTCTCTCTCTCTCTTTACACAATTGTTCTCCAAAGATGAAAATCCCTCTAGTGTTTGGTGCCGAGGTGCAGTATGAACACGTTTGTGCACCAAATACGAAACCAAGGGCAAAATAACACGATTACAGCGTTGCACTGTTAAAGGGAGAAGCCGCGGGTGCGCGAGAACAGCACTGCCAGGAGCGTGTGTGTGTGTGTGCGTGGTTACTCACTCCTTTGTCAACGTTACATCATGCAATCCAAACCACGCAGCTTGCCCCATTCACTTTTTCCATTAGGCTGCACTGCCAGCTCTCTATTTACAATGCAAGCAATTAATAAAAAGCTGATACGCAAAAATGGGCGTGCATGTGGCCAAAGTCTGTATTTCTCTGTATAGTACGTTCATTACATTTGAGGCGATTCTTTATTGAAATAAAGAATGTGGCAATGCAAATGCAATGGTGGTGAAGCTGGGGGGGGGGACACTATTATGTCCTGCTGTTATTTGTCCACCGATTAGCCATGTTTTAAGGAAAACGGTGGGGGAACTATTTTGGGAACACAAGGTACCAGGTCGTCTACTAACCTTACATACGAGCTCTTCCCCGCTGTGTAGGTGGGCGGCTCGGAAAACGTGGTCTCCCTCCAGAGGCTCCAACAAAAGGTAGTCCCCGATGCGGGAGATACAGTGCGAGGAATCCGGGGTCTCCGGCGGGCTGGGGGACCCGAGGTTGGGACTGAAACTTTGGTGCGACTCTGTAGTCCTTAGGCAAGACGATTCTTCGAAATCGTGCGATTTGTGCCGCGATCTCCCATAACGTGAAATGTTAATTGGATTTGACCTCTGTATGTTCATGAGGAATAAGTGTGATAACTCCAGAATATCGCGGGCCTTCCTCCTCGTTCTTCTCTTCCTCCTCGATTAGGCACCACTTTTGTTGTAAACTCAGTACAATGTCGCAAAATCGTCCAATACTTTTATAAATAACGTAAAAGAAACTAATTCGGAAACGATGTAATTGCACCAGGCTGCTGGAAACGTCAGACTATCGAATGACCGTTAACACAACAAAAAGGGTTTTTTTTTCCCCGAGTTTAGCCGTTCATTTGTACCCCTTTGTTTTCCATTCAAGAAATAATCCCAGGCTAAAGTAAAAAAACAAAAAACAAAAACAAACTACCGCTCCAGGCTGACTAAGAACTCTTCGCACAGACCTGCTGCAATTTCATTCACGTTAGCAGCGCCACGACGAAGATGCAACAAAGGCAGCCAAAGTCAGCTTTTCCAATGAATGAAGTGCTAAGATCAGCCGCAGCTTGTTTGCTAGCTTATCTTGCCGGTTAATGCTAAAGCCCGTGTCATATAACGAAACAACTGGTTAGACACAGCTTGCAGGCACACACACAAAAAAATGGACAGGCGAAATGTTTAAAGCCCGTTTTACAGGCTATTTATCGCCGCTAAGTTTGACAGACAGATGGTGGCTAGCAGGTGCAGAGCTAACTAGTTTGCTTGCTTGGCTACCTAGTACCAGGTCAGTGCACAGCCTTGTTCCCCGGGATCATATCTATGCACGGAGATTGTCATCTGTGAAGGAGAAAACCCCATCCGGAAAAAAAGGCTGCTGTAGCTCTTTGTGTGCGGCAGTCTGCGTCCTTTCTTTTTCCTGCTCTAGTCCAGTTTAACAAAGAGTGGAGTCTGTGTGTGCACGCTGGTGGAAGAAAGGAAGGGACGGCCGGCCGACTTTCCCAGGCCTAACCCTC